TAGGGGGAGCTCTTGCTTATCACATACCTCTCAAAGCGACGATGTATTTCAAATCTTATTATCATTTGTCGAATCTTTGATCTATATGTTGTCATCAAGTACCAAAAAGGGGGAGATTGAAAGTGCAACTATCCCTGGGTGGTTTTGGTAATTCCTAACAACATATAGCTCATTGAACTAATGCTATTTCAAGATGATCATTTCAGAAAGTTCGGTGATTGGCATGGCATGGTTTAGGAATGTGGACCCCTCAAAATGCTAAGGACACATATTGGCTCAAGATCAAGACTCTACATTTTCATTTTAGTGATCCAAGATCACATTGAGTCCATAGGAAAAGCCAATACTATTAAAAGGGGATGAGGTGTTGCTTAATGGCTTGCTTGCTCAAAATGCTTAGTGATATGCTCCAAAAGCCCTCAACCAGTTTCTCATATCGACATATGTCCCAAACCAAAAGTCAAACTCGGCCCTACCGAAATTATCTATCTGGCGCCACCGAGTTCATTTGACATAGCCATTGCCAGAAACCCTAGTCATTTCGGTCTCATCGATAGGGATCTCGGTCTCACCGAGATGGGATTGCAAACTCTTTGTTTCCCTTCGTAACGTTTCGGTCCAACCGAGATGAGCGGTCGGCCCCACTGAGTTCGCAATGCAAACTCTCTGTTTCCCTTTCGTAACGTTTCAGTCTCACCAAAATGAGCGATTCGATCCCACCGAGTTTGCCTAACCAACTCTTTGTTTGCCTATTACAGAAATGGGTCCTACCGAGTTTATGTGATCGGTCTCACCGAGATTACGTTATGCCCTAACCCTAATGAAATTGGTCTCACCGAGTTGACATGTCAGTCCCAACGAAAATCCTAACGTTCACATTTTTAACTAAATCGATCTGACCGAGTTTTATGATTCGGTCCCATGGTCTGATTTTGTGTGGAGGCTATATATACCCCTCCACCCATCCTCCATTGGGAGAGAGAGCCATCAGAACGTGCCTACACTTCCAACATACACTTTCGAAGAGAGAACCACCTACTCATGTGTTGAGACCAAGATATTCCATTCCAACCACAAATCTCTAGCCTTCCCCAAGTTGCTTTCCACTCAAATCATCTTTCCACCAAATCCAAATCTGTGAGAGAGAGTTGAATGTTGGGGAAGACCATCATTTGAAGCACAAGAGCAAGGAGTTCATCATCAACACACCATCTATTACCTTTTGGAGAGTGGTGTCTCCTAGATTGGTTAGGTGCCACTTGGGAGCCTCCGACAAGATTGTGGAGTTGAACCAAGGAGTTTGTACGGGCAATGAGATCGCCTACTTCATGAAGATCTACCCTAGTGAGGCAAGTCCTTCGTGGGAGATGGCCATGGTGGGATAGACAAGGTTGCTTCTTCATGGACCCTTCATGGGTGGAGCCCTCCATGGACTCGCGCAACTGTTACCCTTTGTGGATTGAAGTCTCCATCAACGTGGATGTACGATAGCACCACCTATCGGAACCACGCCAAAAATCTCCTTGTTTACATTGCGTTTGCTCCCTCCAAACTCCTGCCTTTACCTTCATGTGCAATGTTTTTACATTCCGCTGCTATACTCTTAGAATTGCATGTGTAGGTTGATTGCTTGACTTGTGCTAAGTTTCTAAAATCTGCCAAGACTTAAAATTGAGAAAAGGCTAGATTTTTTTATTTGGTCATGTAGTCTAATCACCCCCCCCTCTAGACATACTTTCGATCATACAGTTACCTCCGGGTGCCCGGACCCTCCCCTGGGCGCACCACCCCGGGTGCCCGACCCTGACACCCTGAGTGCCCGGACCCTCTCCGCCTCTCGTTCCCAGGTGCCAGGACATGTCCGGCCGTGCCTACATGCACTTAGGGTCAAATGACCCTTGTACCCTGTTTCTCCCCATTTTGTCCTTAGGCTATAAGTACTTGTTCCCTTCCTCTTTCCTAGGGTTATCAAAGTATTGAGAGACATTAGAAAGAGCTTTGCTCATCTACCACTCCTCTTGGAGATCAAGACATTCTAGGAGAAGATCCCTAGTGGATATCAAGACCTCAACTTGGAGAAGACTATCATCAAGACCCCACCTCCTTGGGAGTGGGAAGAACTTACATTTGTGCTTGTTTTCCTTTGATTGTTCTTGTATTCATGTTGATCTCATGTGTGCTACTCTAGTGGATGTGTAATTTGGTTATGTTTGAGTGAATTTCCCTTGTGTTCTTGTGAGTTCATCTCTTTTTTCCTCCAAGTGTGAAAAGATCTCCCTTAGGGTTCCACCTTACAATATCCTGGCTATAAATATCCCACCCCTCCACCATAAATTGGTGGATGCTCCAAGTTAGTGCACGGCTTTTGTCGTGTGAGTGCAACCCCCCTCCGACGCCTTGGAGAGAGAATCCTTGCGAGGAGAAAAACCCAAAACACCCATAGCCCAAAGTGATTGAGCATCACTGAAGCCTTTCTGTTCTGCATGAACTGAAGACTGTGATCTTCCAGTCGGTCAGGCGTCGCGTTCTGAGCATCCAAGAGTCATTGTGGATTGCTGGTGAATGAAGTCTGTGAAGGTTTGGAAGTCTACCTTGAAGACTTACTAGAGTGATTGGGTGAGATCTGCGGGTCTTAGATCAAGGGGAATAAGGTGAAGACATGGTGTTCTGAGTTCAATCTCAACCTCCCTAACTAGACGTATAATTGTGACAACAACTGGAACTGGTCAAACAAATCATTTGTCTTCACCGAGAAACTAGTTCTATCACTTCACTCCTTTACTTACTGTTTAGTTTCGTGAAGCCTTTGCATGCTCGTTCTGTTTGAAGACACTGTGTGAAGACATTCCCTCTGATTACATCTTTGTCTTCACACTATCTTCCTTATCTGTCTCGTTCTACCTAGTTGTTGCTTATCTTTGCATCTCATTTCAATTGTTGATGACATACCAGCATGGCTAGTGTAGTTCATCCTTTGCCATATCATGTTTAGTTACAGTTTCGCTTCCGGGTCTTCGAAGACATTGCCTGTCTTGAAGACTTCCATAAAAATCGCCTACCCACCCCCCTCTAGTCGATAACTAGCACTTTTAGGCAGCAAGTCAAGAAAGAGCTATGATTCTAACAACGACAAGAAGAAGGAATGTTTCAAGAATAAAGAGGGTTCTTCCTCGAAAGTCCAGCTCCAACAGAAGAAAAATAAATCTCACAATGCCACGACTGATATTGAAGGAAATGGATTCCGAAGAAGTTTCTGAATCTGATGCCACTGAAGAAGAACCGTCCGCAAATGATTCTAACTCCGGCATGGAAGGAATTGCCCGCGCTTCCACACCTGCGCCGAGTTCCTTCTTCGGCAATGATGGTAGTGACGATGAAGCACCTGCACACTGCTTCATGGCAAAAGTCTCCAAGGCATCTCCTCGGAAATCTCAGGCTGATTCTTGTGATGGTTCTTCCTCTGAGGAAATTGTTCATAACAAATCTAGTTATCCTAAGCTCATTAAAATTGCCTCTAAGCAACCAGGTTCTCTTGATAAGCAACTTAAGATGCTTGTGATGCAAGAAAGTTTGTTGGTCGAGGAGATGGAGAAAACCCAAATGTTTACCAATGAGCCTTCTACTCTTTTGTCAAAATTTGAGGAACTATCCAGTCATTATGATTCTCTCTCGGTGGATCACGAGAGACTTACTTATGATTATCTCAAAAGTAAACAAGACTCAAATCACTGGGAGTGCTCATGATGATCTGAGGATGAAAAAAAATTATCTCGCTAACGGTATAATACACCGGGGGTGACCTCTTGGTGGGAAGCCTGGCAGCAGGCCTACCTCGGGGCCCGGCTGACTCCATGAAGGACCAGCATCAGGGGGGAGCCCGAAGGCCTAGATAAAGACCAAAGTACCATCTTGACGTGCAAGTCAAGATGGTGGCGGCTTGAGGTCAGTTAGATCCTCATCAGCAGAGCTCTCATTCTCTCCATTGAACAGCTTGTCAAAGTACTCTTGCGATCTATGTTTGATCTTCTCGTTTTCACCAGAAGCTTATCTGCTCTGTTTTTTATGCATTTGACTTGGTTGACATCCCTCATCTTCCTCTCTTCGATCTTGGCCATCTTATAAATGCCCTTTTCGCTTTACTTCATGTTTAAACGCTGATAGAGGTTCTCATATGTCTGACTCCTTGCTTCACTCACAGCTCGCTTTGCAGTCTTCTTTGTCACATTGTACTTCTCTATGTTGTCTACACTCCTATCCAGATGTAGGCATCTGAAACAATCTTTTTCTCTCCCTGATAGCCTTCTAAGCATCATCGTTCCACCACCAGATATCTTTAGCTTCGCTTCTACTTCACTTGGTCACCCCAAACTCCTCTGAAGCCAGCTTACGAACAACCTTTCTTCTCCTTGATAGCCACCTTACGAGTGCAAGTCACCATCTCCGTCCACATTTTGTTTGCATCACCTTCTTCCTCTCAAGGGCACTCCTAATAGCCCTCTCCTTCAACTCATGAGATGCCTCCCAATAGTTAATATTGAGCAGAGGAAAAATAACTCCAACTAAAACGCAATTTTGTAAATTCATTTTATGCAATAGGAGTTAATATGAGCATTTAAATAATTCCCTAAAACATTATTCCAATGAACTCCAAATGATGCATATATGCGATGTATATGAATGACATGTTAACATTCAAATGAATGGCATGTTAACATCCAAAATTTGAAAATTGGGATGTTACATGTCACCAGCAAGCGTTGGTAATCAGGGGGACTTCTTTTATTAACTGTGCGTAATAAAACATATAGAAAGATATGTAATCAACATCTCAATCAATTAATTGTAGTACATGACACGTACAAACATACATACACATAGACTGATTGACTGCACACACACAGGAAACACAAACACAAAGCCAGAATGCTCCTCTGAAACGTCAGTAAGCTCTGCAGCTGCAACTCCGCGTGCTAGCACTTTTTCTAGATAATTAGGCCTAGCTAGTTGTTGAAAACGGAGGGGTTGGTGGTGGCGCTGCTCACTTGGACCTCCAGCACCTCCAGCTTCCGCTCCAGGCTGTCTAGTTTCTCGTTCAGTGAGGCCAGCTTGCTCTTCGTCGTGGCCTCTGCAAAATGAACGCATCAGATTAGCAAGGTCCTGAATTATCTGCCCGTGCCTTCCTTTTGCTTTTGCGTACTTGTAGTCCACATCCCCAAACTTGAGTGTTTTTTTTTCTGTTTTCTAGGTTTTCCTTTTGTTTATTGGTTTTCGCTCAGAGTCAGGCATTGGGGGTTTCAGCCCAGTTTCCCTTATAAACCGGGTCACTATGTGTTTTCTTTTTCTATATCTTAACGAAATTGGCACACTCCTGCTTTAACCGCCAAAAAACAATGCCGAGGATGAATAAGAAAGCAACAAATAAACAGACACGCATGGTTGTTGATTTGCTATCACAGTTCAAACGTATCCAACCTACTACTAACTCTGTTCTTCCCACAAGTTTGAGAGCCCAATCAACATTCCGGGGCAGTAATAGCATACCACGCAAAACCAGTCACATTCTAGTTACATGATATAACTGTGCAGAACTAGTTGAAATCGGTTTCCCATTACCCACAGCTAAGGGGCGAACTAGTTACACCTCTGTGTTGATGCTGTTCGCTGTTTCCGGCGATGGTTCCATTGTCTATTTTGTGAGGCAAGAGAGTTGCTACTTGGTCAACAGCAAAATCACATAATGCATTTTTTTTCTTGAGACTGGAAGCACAACCGTCCGGCATCTCCCAGGTTTGCTGCAAACACATCCCTAAAAATACATTATCGACGCGTGTGCCAAGAAGAGATAAAGGATGTAGCACATACTACAGCAGAACTTTGTTGATGGCATTCCCTATTTCTAGCAATGGTTCCACTGTAGTATTTTTCTTTTTAGTCAAGAGAATTTCTACATGGTCAGCAGTAAAGTCACAGAAACTAGCATTTCTGGTGATTATTAGTTAGAAGGGGCAAAGCACCGTTGCAGTAACGGGCAATTCAAGGCTGACTGAACCAACCTCATCGGCAACATGCGTGAGGAAGTCGGCTATGGCAAATACGGGCCTGTGCAGTCATGGAGGCGGATGCAGCAGGGCATATCATCCATGAGGAAGATCTTGTCCTGGGCGCGAGCAGGTAGGTAGCAAGATTCTAATTCACCCATGCGTGGAATAAATCACACCTAGAGGCGGGTGGAAGCGGTAGGGGCTAAGATTCGATCCAATCCAATCGAATGAGGCAAGCAAGCGAGCAGACGGGTGGGGGAGGAGGAAGGAGATGCAGGGAGGGAAATGGGGATCTGGGGGGCGCACCGAATCGGAGGAGGAAGTCGAAGAGGCGGCGGACGTTGAGGGAGATGTTGGAGATGAACTCGCGGTTCTCCCAGTCTGCCTGCACCGCGATCCCCACGTTCACCGCGCTCCCCATCCCGCCCCCTTGCCCCGCGCGAGCCATTGCTTCTCCTTCGTCTTCCTCCCGCTCGCAGGACGCTCGGCAATTGGCTCCCCTCCCCACCCACTAATGGAGAAGAAGTCGCTTCTGTCCATGGTTACTTACCTTCCACTCTACGCTTCGGTTGGGCTGGGTCCGTGGGCCGGCCGGCAATCTACTTCCACATCCTCTCCTATAAGGGCCCAGGCCCACGTATCATTCGGTCGCAGCCATGGCGCTGCGGCTGCTGTCCCACCCGTCGCTCACGGCGGCGCAGCTCCGGCAGCTCCACGGCCACCTCCTCACCTCCTCCCTCCTCGGCGACCGCTACCTCCCAAACATCCTCCTCCGCGGCCTCCTCCCGGACGCCCCTCTCCGCGCCCTCGCCCTCTTCCCCCGCCTCCGCCGCATCCTCCCCGCATTCCTCCCCAACAACTACACCTTCTCCTTCCTCCTCACCGCCTCTATCGCCACAGCCATCCCCATTCCCTCGCCGTCGTTCACCTCCTCGGCCCACACGCAGCTCATCTGCGCGTTGCACGCGCTCGCCGTGACGCTCGGCTGGGACGCGCACGCTTACGTCTCCAACGGCTTCATCCACGCCTACGCCTCCCGCGGCTTCCTAGACGCCGCGCGCCGCGTCTTCGACACTGCCGTCCTCGCCCGTACGGACGACGTCTGCTCCTGGACCTCGCTTCTCACGGCCTACGCCAGGGCCGGGCACATGGACGACGCACGCTCCCTGTTCGATGGAATGCCGCACAAGACGCCCATCGCCTGGAGCGCCATGCTCAGCGCCCACGTCGGGGCAGGCGGCTTCGTGGATGCGCTCGAGGTGTTCGACATGATGCTCAGTGCTCGTATCCGGCCCAACAGGGCGGCTATCGTTGGCGCACTGGCTGCATGCGGTGGGCTCGGGGCGCTGGAGCAGGGCCGGTGGGTGCACGCTCTCATCACCGCTACCACCGGTAGGATGGATGCGGGGGTGGCTACTGCGCTGGTGGACATGTATGCTAAGTGCGGGAACCTAGACTCGGCAAGGCAGGTGTTCGCAGCCATGCCGGAGCCCGAGCGCGACGTGTTTGCTTACACGGCCATGATCTCGGGGCTCTCGGACCACGGTCACTGCCAGGAGGCCGTTGAGCTGTTCGGCCAGATGCAGGACCAGGGGGTGCGCCCCAACGAGGTCACCTTCATCTGCGTCCTCTGCACTTGTGCCCGTGCCGGCGGCGGGCTTGTCAGCGTCGCTAGGGAGATCTTCCAGAGCATGTCTGCCGTCCACGGCATCGAGCCCGGCGTGGAGCACTATGGGAGCCTGGTCGACGTGCTCGGCCGTGCCGGGATGCTTGCGGAGGCCGCGGCTGTGGTGCGGGCAATGCCGATGCGGCCCGACTCATACGTGCTAGGTGCGCTGCTCAATGCATGCCGGGTGCACGGTGGTGACGGCGTGAAGCTCGGAAAGCAGGTTGTGGAGTGGCTAGCGGAACTTGGGCTCGACCACAGCGGCGTGCACGTGCAGCTGTCCAACATGTACGCCTGCTCCAGCAAGTGGGAGGACGTGGTAAGGATCCGGTCGGTGATGGAGGAGAAGAAGGTGGCCAAAGTGCCCGGCTGCAGCATGGTCGAGGTCGATGGCGTCGCTTGCGAGTTTGTTGCTGGCGACCGCTTCCTTGATCCGTGCATCAACACCGTCGTCAGAGGGCTCGATCAGCAGCTCAGGCTGCTTGGCCATGACTACCGTCACCTCGAGGAGCTATCCAACTTGGCGTAGGTTTAGAGCCCGTTTCCGTCTCAGGTCGCAGCCGTGTCTTGCCTCTTATAAGTTGGAACACCACGGCTCGTACCACAAATACACATGGCAAACATTGTTCAGCCGAAAGGGGCGCAGATCCATTGCTCAGATGACATGCTCATGGAGATTTCTCCTACCTGCCGGCCAAGACGCCGAGTTGGTCAGCAACTTCCGCAGCTTGACATGCTCTCATCGGCTACCTTCGTGGAGCTTCACCGCTGGCGAGCCAACAGGCCAGGCCAGCTGAAGCCTTTCTTCAGTACTACCGCCGAGACCTCTGAAGGGGAATCCTTACAGAGATGTATGGAATGATTACGAAATGCGATTTATCTCCACGGTTTCCTTCAGGCATTTAAGAAGTTGATAAAGAGACTAATGAGCTGGAAGACACAAGGCAGATTGATCCCCGTAGCATCGACTAACAGGTTTTCATATGTTTGTTTTTCTGCAATTCCGGTGAAGTGTTGTGGCCGAATGCTTCCATCTCACTGGCTTAATGTGCCAGTTTGTCAGTTACCATAATCAGAAACTTGTCAAGTTCTTCAGCACTTATTATAGAAGAGAAAACACTTCTAAAAGAAAACATTGAGAAAGCACTTTTCGACTTATCCTTCAGTCGTCGACCTATCTTTCTTGCAGTTCATCCTAACTCATGTTTCTGACACATTTTTTCGTCAGTTTTGGTTTTCCTCAGATTACTAGCAGCTACCTGGAGATGTCACAGTGGTGCTTTCAGCACGCTACCCTGTTCAAATGGTGGCTTCCTAAGTGCAGATGATGGTGTTGAGCAGCTCGGTGGAGGACCTCCTCAAGATGTCTACTTAGTTTTGGAGTTCTCCATGTTAGTGTGACCTTGCTGTTCACAGACAACCACTACGACAGCACCTACCCATAGATCTCCCGTGCGGAAATTGAACAGATTTTTGTCTTCCAGAAATGGAACAGATTTTTTGCTAGGTTATGCGATGATCGAAGCAGCTAGGGTGTACTACACTGATTCTTCTGTTGGCACATACTGCTAGTACCAATGGATTGATCAGTTGTCATATAAGGATAAGAAAACATAGATCTGATTAGTTTCTGTTACTGGTTCGTATGTACTACTGCACTAAACTCGTGTGTATATCCTCTCGTGTCTATTGTTGTTTCTTTGTATCACTTCTGGCAATCTTGCTGTGCCTGAACATGTATGATAATCTAATTGTTCGATGACTTGCAATGCAATGTGGTACAGCAATGTACTTGTTGATACCGCAATAGACTGGCTTCTTTGGATTCATTTCAACAACTTGAACATTTGTCATAAAAATTTATACCCTGTCACTTACAGCATCAGAATCTCTAGGCTCTAGCTCCGGAAGAACGTTGCATGCATCAACGCTTTAGAAGAGGAAAGGTAAAATAAAATCAAACAACAGTATTATCAGTTTCTAAAATTCTGAACCAAGGCTTCTCTTCATCTCCTTGATTAGCAGATAGGCAGGGGCTCGCCGTTCGTGCCCAGCTCCTCGCGCACGAACCGGTATAGAGGGTATGACCGGCAGTCTACGATACGGTTTGGTTCTGCAGCGGTGCCATTCTCCACTGCACCTCTAGCAGCCTCAACCTCCTGAGGTAGTGTTGCACAGAGCTCCTGTTCAAATTTGGCAACCTTGGCAAACACCGAGGTTTCCACGGTGCACTCAGCCTCGCCGTTGGCCAGGGCGTGCTCAACCAACACCGCGCGCATCTTCTTCATGAGAGGGTAGTTGGCGCTGCAAGGGTCGTCCGCATACGCGAACACCGCCTCACGGTCGATAGTCTGGAGCAGGTCCTTCTCACAAAAACGTGTGTTGTGGAGGCCACCCATGTCATTTGTAATCAGGGTCTTCCTAGCCACTCTTGTGACACAATTCTTGACGGCGTTCTTGACATTCTCCTCAAGGTGGCGCAGGTCAATGGCTTGGCACAACGCAACCAAAAATGTAGAGGACATGAGCTTCAGAATGTCGATGGCCTCGGCAGTCTTCCGGGACGAGATTAACCCGAGGGAGTTAACATCTTGGTTATGTTGCTCTGCGCTCTGGACATGGTTGGTCACAGGGTTGCCCAAGAATTGGAGCTCTGAGCAGTACGATGCCATGGCTATCTTGGCACCCTTGAAACCATAGTCCAGACTTGGGTTGCAGCCACCAGAGAGGTTGGAGGGCAAGCCATTGTTGTAGAAGTCGTTCACTAGCTCCGAGAACTGGGCAAACATGAGCTTGCCGATCGCAGCAATGGCAAGCCTCGTGTTGTCCATGGACACACCGATTGGTGTGCCCTGGAAGTTGCCTCCATGAATTGCCTTTCCACGAGATACGTCAATGAGTGGGTTGTCATTGACGGAGTTGATCTCGCGCTCGATCGACTTCGTCGCTGCACGAATGACCTCAATTTGAGGACCGAGCCATTGTGGTGATGTGCGGAGAGCATATCTGTCTTGCTTTGGCTTCATCAATGGGTCGAGCTCACCAAGTTTCTTCGCGAGCATCATGTAGGAGCTGCCCTCCAGGATGTGCTCCATGATGGCTGCAGCCTCGATCTGTCCGGGGTGGTGCTTCAACTTGTGTGTCAGGTGGTCGGTGTACTCTGGCTTACCGTTCATCACTTCGCAGAACACAGCCGACAAAACTTCAGCAAGGACACCAAGGATGTTTGCTTCACAGAGAACAATGGACGCGAGCCCGGAGCCCACCGCCGTGCCATTAACCATAGCAAGGCCTTCCTTGGGCTGTAGCTCGAAGAAGCCGTGTTGGATACCGGCGATCTTAAATGCCTCGGCAGCATTAACTTTTGTGCCATCAGGAGCCACGGCCACGGCATTCGGGCGGCCGGTGACAAGTCCCGCGATGTAGGAGAGCGGGACGAGATCGCCGGAAGCGGTGATGGTGCCCCGGAGCGGCAGGCACGGTGTCACATTGGCATTGAGCAGCGTGGCGATGGTCTCGAGGATCTCGAAGCGGATGCCGGAGTATCCTTGGAGCAGGGTGTTGACGCGGACAAGCATCGCCGCGCGCGTGGTGGCCGCGGGCAGCACGTGGCCGTCGCTGCCGGTGCCGAACGCACCGGCGTTGAGGAACCGGATGAGCTCCCTCTGCAGAGCGCCGCCCTCCTTGGTCCTCCGATGGGAGGTGGCGCCGAAGCCGGTAGTGACGCCGTAGCTATCGGTGCCGTTGGCCATGCTGGTCATGACCCAGTCGCTGCTCTCCTTGACGCGGCCGCGGGCGGACTCGTCGAGCTCCACCCTGGCCCCGTCGGCGGCGGCCACCGCGGCGACCTGGGCGATGGTCAAGCTGGCGCCCTCCATAACCACCACCGGCCTGCGGTACTCCTCCACCATCCGCTTGAGGCTTGACGGCGTCAAGATGGCTCCCCGACAGCTCCTCCGCCGCCTTCCCCCAGTTGAGCGGGTCAGCACTCGGCGGCTTGGCCACGCACAAACCGTCGCTGCCATTGGTGGCCATTGGTTCGATCGACAATTTGCCTTGAAGTCTCGATGGAGCAGCTTGAGTAGGGACTGGTGGTGTTTACTGTATCAGCTCGATGATGTGTGGAGTAGCCTTGTGAGAGAAGAGCTCGTTGGAGTAGGAGAGGCGGGGAATGCTCTTCTTGGATGGCAATGGAGGCGAGGGAAGGAGTTAAATAGGTAGCGCAACCATGGTGGGTGGGGAACTGGGGATTGGTGTGGACTGTGACCGGAATGGTGGTGTTGACCGCTGGACTTGGCCGGGTGAGCACGAAGGTGCGGTTGGTGGCCTCGTGCGTGCGCAGTAGGAAGAAGACGAAGAATAGGCAGCTGCTGCGACAATGGGATACTAGTATAGTATGAGGTGCTATGCGAGGGGAACGCACGAGGCGACGCTGCACGCGCTTGCTACTAGATGCTAGCTGATGGCGATGATAAAGTCCGTTATGGAGACTTCGCGACGAGCTCCAGCGTCCAGCCTCTTATACCCAGCTAATTAGGCCAACTCCAACACGCGATCTCATCCTGTCCGTCCGCGTCCGTTTAGAGGTAAACGGACAAAGCAGGCCTTCCAACGCGTGGCCTAAACAGACCATCGTCCGTTTTCTGTCCGTTTTTGATCCATTCTCGACCCAAGTTTGAGACGAGTTTGCGGTTGAATGGACAGCGTGTAGCGCCCTTGTCCTTCCCTGGCCCGTCCGTCGGTGGCACAGCCGGTCACTTTCCCTCTCTTTCCACCAAAACCCTCCCGCGCCCCGCCCTCCACTCTCCCGCGCCACGCCCTCCACTCTCCCGCGCCCCTGGCCTTGCCCCTCCCTCCATCCATCATGGCCGACGATGCGAATCCCGACGACCCACCACTTGCCGCCTGGCCCGTGGCGAATAAAAAGAAGCATGTGAAGAAGCCTCGGTCGGAGCTCACGCCAACGGAGGCCGCCAAGCTCGACAGGGAATCGGCCAAGAGGAGGGACCGGCGAGCTGTGGAAAAGGAGAAGAAGGCCGCCGCGCAGTACGCTTCCAAGTGTGCCCTGCGGCTTGCGATGCAACACCAGGTCGAGCTCGACGACAAGGAGTCCATCGTCTCCAAGGTGCACGCCCTCCTCATGATGGGTATAGGCCGTCCCACGCCGGCCAAACTCTCAGCCGCTGCCATGGCCGCGGCCAGGACAAGCTCCTCGGCCCATCGACCGCCACAGCACCGTTCCCCGAGCTCGTCCGTCTCACACGACACGCCGGATGTTCGTGCTCCGCTGCCGCACGGCCATGGGCAGACGCGATTCTCTACGTCGTCGAACTGCATGGTGGTCGATCGGACCACGCCCGCGAGCGTCATCAACCTCAACATCATGCCGGGGTACAGTGGTGCTGGCCATTGTAAAGACGGCACGCAAAGGAAGCAACCCCGATCATTCGTGTCGGCTCACATGGCCGGCATCCTCAAGCTGTTCGACAAAATGCCACCGCCGACGCAAATGTCGACGATCAACGACCC